ATTCCTCTTAAAATATTACCAAAATCTAACTACGGTTGCCAACCCGCTTGCCAAGCATGGTTACTACTGGCAAACTCCTCTTTTAAGGGGGAGGGGGGCTATGTTCAGCAGTGGACAGCTAACGGCTGATAAGATGATGATGATGTATGTGAATCCTAAACGGATTGACGGATTTTTATATACGGAGTGTCGTTCAATCGTCTTACTTGCTTGGAATTACTTTAGGCGACATGAAGACACCATAAAATAAATATGGTGGTCATAAACCGTCAAAAACTAATTTAACAGTAGGATTTTTTTTACGACTTTGTCCGACTACTCGACGTTCCCTATTAACAATATCGGATCTGAAATTCAGCTATATTATGTTTATATGTGACTTTGTTAATAAAAGTGGACTTGTTTCTTGTGAATTTGAAGTATATTTTTTAATAAAAAAATAAATACAATCTCGTTAAAATAACCCATATAAAGACGTAACGAAAATAATTTGTCGGTTATCCATAGATTAAAAAAAAAATTGTATTAAAAAATTAATGAATTTGAATCCACGACCCCGAAGACATATCTTTCCAAATAGTAACATCCTATCCTTATAATAGAAACTTATTATAGATACAAACAATTACAAGAAATAATCACAGTGAGAAAACAATGGGCGACCTTATCGCTTTTAGCGATAAGGTCGCCCATTGTTTAATATATATATATATATATATATATATATATATATATATATATATATATATATATATATATATATATATATATATATATATATATATATATATATATATATATATATATATATTACATGTATATATATAAACATAGACATAAAACACAAAATATTTAGATATCTGAAGATATAAATATGCTAACCAAACAAATATACAACAAAACACATTTAACAAGGATATTAACAAGGATATAGTGTTACAAAAGTTAATGAACATAATAAAAAAAAAAACTTATCGCTTATAACCTTAAATGTAGAACGCCTTTGCCTCTACGTGATGTAACAAAAAAAAAAAGAGCCGACAGTTAACAAGACAAAAGGGACGTCTTCATTATCCACGAAATTTAACAATATTTTATCTGTCTAATGTTATATTGGAGCGTATTTTTCCCGCGCTCGCCTTGCTACGGAACCATGCGTTCAATCTTTATTTATATGGTGAAGCCCATTTATAATAAAGAAACAAACGCTAGAATGTAATATGTATACTAGCGTACCAGCCCGACTTCGCACGGATAGACAGAGTTTTGGAAAATAACATAAGCTAAATGGACGAAAGATTCTGGACTTTTTCACAGCTATATCTTAAGCAATTAATATGGGAAGTTCTTATTTTATTCAAATATTTTGGGATTTAGCAGTTTCTAATATTAATGGCGTAGAAAAGGACACCCCTTCCTTTCTCGTTGGTGTCGTAAAAATCGACTAAGGGAGGGCGAGGGATGAGCAGCAGCGTCCCTTTTAAAACATCTCTAAAGCCTAACTGCGCTTGCCAATCCGCGTACCAAACGTGGCAACTCCTGGGAAAACCTCTCAAGGGGGAGGCTTATGTTCAGCAGTGGACAGTTCACCCAGAAGGGTGCAAAGAATTGCATAATGGTGGAAATTTCCATCATAACATTGAATGCCCAAAAATTATATAAAAGAACAAGTTCACTTTAAGTTGATCGTGTCTGGATACCTTTTTAATGTCCATTGTAGAAAAAAAACATAGCTGTCAAATTTATTTTTTAACCATTTAACCTTTAATTTTAAACATGAATTATATCACCTTGATTTATTTTATTTATTTATCGAAGCATTTGGCGTTCCATTGTTTCTGCCTACCCTAATGGGAGACAGGCGTGACAGATATGTATGTATGTATGTATGTATGATTTATTTCATGAATAAAAAAATCGTATAAAGAAGGGATAAAGGCTCAGATGATGATGATGATGATCCTTACTAATATTATAAATGTGAAAGTATGTTTGTTGGTTTTTAAACTCTTCACGATTTACAGTTGAAAGAATCGTCACTATTCTCATCCGACTTTAAAAAGAAAGTTTTTTTTATACAACTTAGAATGGCAAACAAGCTGACGGCCCACCTGTTGGAAAGTGACCGTCGCCTATAGACATGAGCAGTACCATGGACATAATAGAGTATACTGTTTCGCCCATGATACCCCCCATGCGTTGCCCTTCCTGAGGACTCAGGTGTTATTCCTCTGTACCCTGTAAATTCACGCCATATCCCACCCTTCTAACTGAAGCACAGCCATGCAAACACACCTGCTTCACGGTAGAAACACGAATGGAACAGAGGTACCCAAGCAATCGACTTTTGTACAAAGTCTCCCTCTGGTAAAGTTGTTCTCAATTCGTCATAAACTCATAACTCCATCAGTTAATAGAAAACCTATTTGGAAAATTATTTTTTGTCCGAAAAGGATATACTTACAAACTAGTTTCATAATAATTAAATAAAAAAATTATTAAAGATTCAATAGTTCAGTTTTTAAATTGAAATAAATAGTTTTGCCACATTTAAGTCGGTTGTTTTTTGTGGAACACAATTTAATTTTTGTCATCAGTTACTAACACTATAAGGTACATTACTAATAATATCAGGTCGACCTCCACACGGTCTCTCTGGAAACTATCTAAGTTAATTACTAATACTCAATTAAAAAATTATTAAAACACTACTGTGGAGTATGGGAAAGTTGGGCGTTCGTTCGTTTCCTATAACCATAAGAATAAATAAAGGGATCCGATTTTTAATACGATATAACCCTACCACCCCGGTTTCCCTTTTTTTTTAGTACCCACTAATGAACAAACCCTGTTCGTTGATGGATGAACTTTTGATATGCATATGTAAATTCTTTCAATTAACTTAACAAGAGCTACTGCCCCTTAGGAAATTGTATATTACCTCTTTTTATTCAACAAGCTTATTAATATTCAATTTATTTTAAACGGGACACACGGACATAGAGATCGGTCAACAAAGCACGTGTCAAACACAGTGTGGAACATAACAATATGTTTGATAATTTGGGTGTGAATAAAACAGGTTGTTGAGTTAATTATGGTCATCTAAATTTTAAATTTTTGAAAAAAGCAACAGCTAAGGTTTTAGGCCGTTCTTCTTAACTGAAATTGCATTTAAAATGGGCGGTAGAATCATAAAAAAACTAATTCAAAATTCATAAACGTGACGTGAACTTAAATTCACTTGTATAAAAATATTTTTTTGTTTTAGAAAAGAAATAAAGTTGAAAATCCGACTTCAGTTAAAAGAAGTACATTTTACTCCTCAAAAAAAAAAAGCAAATTTAATCATAACAATTTTAAAACACACCAACAACATTTACAGTTTATTATATAAACGTAAACAGCCTTTATTTTCACGCAGATAAAGCTGCGATATGCAACCAGTTGTTATATTTATTTGTTGCTTTATCTTATTAGTTTTAGAGTCGATATGAGCTCTTTTTTCATGAGAGCAGTACCCGGCTGTCACTGTAAAATATACTGAGTTGAAATATATAAACATACTAGCTTTTGCCCGCGACTTCGTACACATAACCGGGATATTTTCACTGACCAGTACAAAATGTAATTAATGTCCTTCTTCATCCCATATCGTACCCGTATAACAAATTTCATAATGATTTGTTAAGCAATTAATGCACTAACAGGAAAGAAATAAACACCTTTTTACATTTATCTATACTAATATTATAAAGAGAATACATTTGGTTGTTTGTTTGTGATGGATAAACTTAAGTACTCAACGGATTTTAAAAATTCTTTCACCATAGAAAGCTACATAATCAGCGATTAACATATTCTAAATATGAAAGTGAGTATGTTTGTTTATTTATTACCTCTTAGCGCCTTAATCTTAGCGGCTTAACCAATCGCTATGATACTTGGCTGTAGGTATATTATTTTCGAAAGTTATTTTTGGTATTGGCGTGATTGTATGACAGTATTTGTTATATCATTAATGTAATTATTTATGTCGGCTTTACTCACATTTTAAATTCGGAGATGCCTAACTAGTTTCAAACTTAATAGAAGCCCTTATTTATGAACATGTTTTACGACTGTCTCGAACAGCACAGCGCGACCAGCACGCTGTTGCTGATCGCGTACGGTCATTATAATTTACCATGTCGTATTCTATTAGATGCTCTAGGTGGCTCAGGACCGTTCCTTATGGCGGTCTATGGGGAAGATCTATGTACAGCAGTGGACGGATAATGGCTAAAATGACGACGGGGATATAATTCAATTAGAATTTTATTAGGGTACAATGATTGCATGATCTTTGTGGCTGTGTGTCATACTAATGACACGACAAACGCTGCGGTGTCAGGAATTTTTAAATTAACTCCGGCGCAATTATTTATTTTGTTTGCTCTTTATTGTATTAAATTAAATGGTAACTTAGAAAATAGAAAATAGAGTATTTATGCTTTCTGCTCCCAACATGGAATGGGCCACCCCTTCCTTTCCCGTGGGTGTCGTAAGAGGCGACTGAGGGAACTTAGTGGTCGAGGCAGCAGCGTTCCTCTTAAAATATCACCAAAAGCCAAATCGTGGTTGCCAACCCGCCTGCTAAGCGTACCAATAACTATTGACCTTCACACGGTTTCCCCTGGAATTTTTTGAATTTTGAATATTTTGGCCTTTGAATCTGCCACTATGATCTAACTAACTTGCTTTTATCCTCACCTATCATCTTCCACTGATGCCCCGCCAGTTTATACCGATAGCGTATAAATTGCCTGGGTAAAAAAATAACCCTGCCTGGGTTACCGTTCCATTATTATTTACTAAGAATTACTTGTCCCGGTCAATCAGTATATCACGGTCATACGGACGAAGTCACAGGTCAAAGCTAGTAAAACAAGTAGATTTCAAACCGAAAAAAGTCGATTTAAAACATAAAAATAAATAAATGTCTTACATTTTGTTCTCAGTGCATCCGCTTTGGGTGAAACTGCAAGGCGGCAAGCGCCCTCTGGTGGCCGGACAGAGCACCGAACTGATCTGCCAGTCAGTTGGAGCCAGGCCTAAGCCTACGATTTCCTGGTGGAAAGATGGTAGCAGGCTGAAGACTGTTAAAGAATCGGTAAGTACCTACCATTTCATTGATAGTTTATTTATAACTTAGCAAACCTAGTGAATACCTACTTATTGCTGTGTAGTCCCGGCATTGAAGGGGCCACCCCTTCCTTTCCCTTAAGTGTCGTAATAGGCAACTAAGGGAATTTTTATGGTCGAAGGATGGGCAGTAACGCCCCACTTAAAACATCACCAAAGCCTAACTGCGATTGCCATGCCGCGTGCCAAATGTGGCAACTACTGTCGAAACCTCTCCTAAGGCGAGTGGCGGTCCTTCACCATGCGTTTTTCAAGGCACTTTCTTCTACGCACAACCACTCTTTGGAATCAACTTCCGGCAGTAGTATTTCCGAACCGATACGACAACATAACCTTCAAGAAAAGAGCATATTCCTTTTTAAAAGGCTGGCAGCACGCCTGCAATGCCTTTAGTGTTGTGGGTGATCATGGGCGGCGGTAGTTACTTGCCACCAGGTGAGCCGCATGCTCGTTTGCCCCCTGTGTTGTAAAAAAAAAAGGGGAGACCTATGTTCAGCAGTGGACAGACAGCTGACATGATGGTACTTAATGAGTTACTTTCTTTATTGATGAATATAGAAAGGGTAACTTGAATACAATGTACCTACTAGAGTGCCGCGGCATCCTTGCAATCTATTTAAAAATGCAGCTTGCAGAACAAACTTGGGCCGCGAATCACCTATCGTCCGCATAACGCGTCTGTATAACGATATTGTAAAAACCAAGCCTGAACTTGATATTCACAACGATTGTCACTTTGTTCTTTGTTCATGGCTAAATTAAAATGTTGATGTACCTCGCCATTGCATTATATTTATTTATAATTTAAAATAATTTAATTACAATTTTCATTATTTATATTATTATTGTATTATTGTATTTCATTATTGTTATTATTCATATTGTTAATATCTTTACTCATTTATTGACATTTAATAATTTAATTCTATTTTAATGTTTATCAAACACAAGGCATGCTGTGGTTGCCTATAAATGTAAGAACAGTTAGATCTAATCTACCAGTGTATTGTATTGAAATGTTTAGCTGTATCTTATGTTGGTGATCCTATAAATAAATAAATAACTCTAACTGCATTGTGTGACGATATTATGGACTGTATGTTGATATTTTTTTTATACAACTTAGAATGGCAAACAAGCTGACGGCCCACCTGATAAAAAGTGGTAACCGTCGCCTATAGACATGAGCAGTACCATGGACATAACAGAGTATACTGTTTCGCCCATGATACCCCCCATACGTTGCCATTCCTGAGGACTCAAATGTTATTCCTCTGTACCCAGTAAATTTACGCCATATTCCACCCTTAAAACCGAAACACAGCCATGCAAACACAACTGCTTCACGGTTGAAACACGAATGGGACAGAGGTACCCAAGCAATCGACTTTTGTACAAACTCTCCCTCTGGTAAAAGAACTATAAAAGAACTAAGAAGTTTGCAACATGCATTATAATTTTTTAGTAACGCAATACAAGTGAATGACAGTACATTGGGACAAATTCAACAACATTTAATCATGACAGTTTCCAGGGATAGCCACGCGGATGTTGACTTTGTAGGATCTATCAGCAATAGAATCTTTAGACCTCATTACAAATAATATAAGAATAAAATAGAATAGAAACATTTATTGCCAGTAAACTTACAATATAAAGTATAAATAACATATACAAAAAGTGTCCCACACCCGGCAAAAGGAACCGGCTCAGTTGATGCTAGGAGTGTCCCAGCGCAATGTGAACAGCTGCACAGCGCTGGTTTTCAGCCAGTCCCTCTCTTAACAAAACAACCAAAGTGCAGGGTACCACTGTACATTACTTCTTACAAGAATTATTTCTCGATACTAATTAAAAAAATACTAATAAAAAAAGGAAAGAAGTTTTAATTTGTGCCTATATTTAATATATAATATATATAAATAGTAAATATGGCATATAAATAGTAAAACTCACTAAAAAGAATCAGTTGCGATCCAAAATTTTAATAATAATTCTCAATTGTGCGATACTTTTAAACGTACTTGAGCCATAGACGATTTTCATGTGTGTATTTTTGTTTTATACGTCATAATGTTAATATTAAAAAAAAAGTATTCACATGAAAGAAAATATTTATTTTACAACTAGTATTACGGTACTAGTAGTTCTGCCATTACAAATACGGAGAAGTAAAACCTGGGTTTATCTATAAAGCTAGATTTACGACGTCTCCTACGTACAGGTAAAGCACCGCTACTATTACTATCTGCAGTGTGGTTTGTCCACGGACAGCGGTTACAGTCCTATCTTATTTTAACTTAACTGAACACCAGTTAAAATAACCGCTTTACATACATTTTTCGTAACATAATAAAATTTTAACCAAATCTGTACATGGGAGATATTTAAGAAAAATTTGCATGTCTTAATAGAAGCCAAAAGCATTAATATTTTGAATTTTTGTCTATTTGTCTATCAGTGTATCTGTCTGTATGTTTGTTCTGGTATCACGCAAAAATTATTACATCTAATTCGTGTTGTTGTACAAAAATTTGAAAATTTAATCATTTTGTCTTAAAAATTTATAGTGAAAGCAATTTAATTTCCCCATAATATCCATTGATATCCATTAAATCATGTAGTTTTCATTTTATTGTAAAAAAATTTGAAATATTATTTTTTAAAAATATGATAACTCGAAACTTTTCTAAAAAATTTATATTGCCACTTTAAAACTCTTTATTTTTTCCGTCATCGTCATCATCAACATCATTGAATTTTTCATCGTGCCTCCCACCAAATTGTTTATAATTACTCCTCTCCATCCAAAGGTTGCCAGGAAGAGATCGCTTTTAGCTATAAGGTCGTCCGTTGTTTTCGCACTGTGATTATTTCTTGTAATTGTTTGTATCTATAATAAGTTTACTATTGTAATCTTTTGGAGGAAACAATAAAGAGTATCTATCTATCTATCATATCACACGCCAACTGCCCACTGCCCACTGCTGGACACAAGCCTCCGCCTTCTTTCCGCATTTATTCCGTAATATCCATTAACTCATAAATTCAAATTTAAAATCATCTTTATTTGTTTGTTTTGTTTTGTTTTCAAGAGTTCTTTATTTATCATATGTGATTACAAATATATTAAATTCCAGTGTACGTAAGCCTAAAATCTACAATCAGCTATAAATCGTTTGGCCAGTATTATACACTCCTTCAAACATTTAAAATAGAGATACAAGTATCTATAATTCTACACAACATAAAAACTTACAAATACATGATGTAACTTATTAATTATAATCATTAAAATAAACACAAAATGCACATATTTGTAAATTATGCATAATAACGAAAATCATACAATTTTTATTACAAAATACATCTTTATTACAATTATACACAGTCTTGTTTACAATCAATTTTAAATCGTCATCTTTTAACGAATGCAGGGTTCGAAAAGTTGTTATCTGTTGAGAAGAGTCCGCTAGAGACTCAACATTTACTCTTTTAAATCTCTGTTAACATTATGTATATTTATTTAAATGTATAGTCTAAAATTACATGGTCCTTAAAAAGCCTGTGCATAATCGACTAGAATCAATGAACTTAACAATAAACTGGCAAAACTCCTTCTAAGGAGATGGCCTATGTTCTAACGACACTATGAATGGTCTATTCTATGTCAGGACCACTCTGCAAACCCTAATGGATACTTATCTATTACCATAAATACCGACCGACATAAAACTACATTATTGGCCGTAAAAAACCTTAATTATTCACCTTTAAAAAACTATACAAGAATTATCTATGTACTATTTAACCTATAAATCTTACGGCAAAGTAGTTGTATATATATGTTTAATGTTTATATTTATTAATGTTATTTTATTCTATTTTGTTCTTTCTAGTATATGTAATTGGTTTGTATTTATTAGTTGTAATTTTGTTTTAATTATTATCATGAATATTATAAATAGTGCCCTCTCTCTCCCCCCTTTTATATATATATTTTTGGTGCCACTGAAAACCAGCTGTATGTTCACCTAGGACATACATTAAAGCTGAGTGGAGCCATTTCAGTGCATTTTTGGATGTAAAAATGATTATTTTATGTTAATTTTTAATTATGGTAAATTAAGTTTAATTATATGTACATTTTATTTGCTCATTTTTTTCTCGTTTGTTGTTTATATTGTATTTTTTACATTGCACTGAATAAAATATTTTTCTTTCTTTCTTTCTTTCTTAATAATAATCTATTACCCATCGAAAAGCAGGAAACGGAACTAATAATAATGGTATATGAATTAACGTGAAACGGAACGTCATTTGTTACTCATTAACTCTACTTCATTCGGTTTATTAACTACACTACGTTCCGCCTGTGACTTTACTCGTGTTTTATATTATCCAGTCGTGAAGCAAAGCCCCCCCCCCCCCCACAAGGCTGTGAAATTATAGGGTACAGATTCATAACATCTTAGACCACAGGAATAACAACATATGAAGGGTATCATGGGCGACACAGTATACTCTGTTATGTCTATGATAACACGTACATGTCTATAGGCGACAGTTATCACTTTCCATCAGGTGGTCACGAGCCGTCAGCTTGTTTGCCTTTTTAAGTTGCATTTTACGAGTATATTGTCACGAAAGGTAAAGGTGCAAGCAAAAAAAACTACAACAAAATCAGAAGTAACTGGTTCTAACCTTGCAAGCTTTTTATATCCGCCTTTAACTGTCCACTGTAAATATTAATCTCCCCATTGACAGGGTTTGCCGGTAGTTGCCACGCTTGGCAGGCGGATTGGCAACCGCACTTAGGTTTTGGAGATGTTTTTTAACGCTGCTGCCTATCACATGATACAATACTATAATGCTACCCAATAGTACTACTAACCAGTAATGGAGAAAATACTACCCAGGGATAAGGATGGGGTGGCCTATTCTATGCTGGGACCATCCATACGATCTCTGGATATTGTATTACAAATTCTTAAATAATATGAAACAAATTCGCTGTCTACGTGTCTTTCCGCTTACTTCTAAACCACGCATCGAATTTGGTTGCGGGTTTAATTTTTTTTTAATACTACAACCGTAACAAACAAGCGTACGGCCCGTCTGATGGTTACCGTAACCTATGTACGTCTGTAACACCAGGGATGTCATGCGCGCGTTGGCGACCCTTAAGAAACCTTAATATGCCCTTTTTTGAAGAACCCCATGCTATATTCTCTAAGGAAAGCCTCGGCAGCAAAATCATTTTACAAGGTTTTTTTATACAACTTAGAATGGCAAACAAGCTGACGGCCCACCTGATGGAAAGTGGTAACCGTCGCCTATAGACATGAGCAGTACCATAGACATAACAGAGTATACTGTTTCGCCCATGATACCCCCTATGCATTGCCATTCCTGTGGACTCAGGTGTTATTCCTCTGTACCCTGTAAATTCACCGAATCCATCAAACCGAAACACAGCCATGTAAACACAACTGCATCACGATAGAAACACGAATGGAACAGAGGTACCCAAGCAATCGACTTTTTGAAGAACCCCATGCTATATTCTCTGAGGAAAGCCTCGGCAGCAAAATCATTTTACAACGTATTCGCGGGAAGAAGCTCCTCTGGATATTTTTTACGGAAGATCTGTAGAATTTGTACTAGATGGAGCGCGCCGTTTGCAAGTCATCGAAATCTCGACGGACAGATATTACAATTGCATTCGTATATACGGACCCGGACGTCCAATTAGCTATAGGTACGTAACGGAACAGTCATTGTTGTGGCTATAATACGCTCCAGCGGCCGCCCGTGTCAATTCTATTCCCAATAACTGATAAATTATCTATATATACATACATATATACATATATATATATATATATATATATATATATATATATATATATATATATATATATATATATATATATATATATATATATATATGACTGTTACGTTATTATACAGAGAGTATCCCTGTATATTCATTTTAGGTGGTTAATTTTTAATTAACATAATATAATAAGTAAAACATGCCATGGCGGTGTAGTGCGTCTGGCATGTTTGCAGAGAACAGGGTTAATGATTTTTTTTGCTATTTGACGTATTTATAAGGAAAAATTTCATAAAATATTAATGACAATAAGTAATCATATTGTAAAGACTGTATTCCTCACTGCATACCTGACGACAAAAGATTTTATAATGAAATAATTTATATTATAATAGTATTTTATAATTAATGTATATTTTAAAAATAATAATAATAGTTTGTTTAATTAATAATGTAATTGTAAACTATGGGTATATACCTGAAAATAAAGAGATTTATTTATTAAAATTATTATTATAAATTTTATCAAAAATATAATTAATATTCTTCGAAACCCCCAGTCTCCTAACTACTTAAGCAGCAAATTCCAGCACCTTTTTGAAACTCACGATCGTAACCTTCGTTCCAGTAATACTCTCCAATTATCTTTCCCCTCTCACCGTACTGGTTTCGCTTCAAATTCTTTTCTCTTACATTCTTCACGGCTCTGGAACGAGGTTCCTGATACCATTATGAGACTACCGACTAAACCGTCTTCCAAAAAAAAAACGTTCATGCTCACTTTTTTACTTTATCCGAGCAGTAAGTACTTTATATTATTCTCAATTTCGTGTATAATATAGTATATGTCATATATGTGTAAGTATATTTGTTATTTATATATATTTATTCGTTTATATATGTAATTTTAGTATGTATGTATATCAATAATTACTAATACCGCATTCGAGTATTCTGACACTTCCCTAAGGTTGACTGGGAGAGAATGCTTTTAGCATTAAGTCCGCCATGTACACATATATCGTCATAGTCGTAGAATACTGACGGATCTGACAAAGATTAAATATACATATCCGTCAGTATTCTACGACTATGACGATATGTACTAATGAATAAATAAATACATATATGGTTTATTCTTATACATATGTATTACTGTTAGATTATTATACAGAGAGCGTCTCTGTGTGCTCCTCTTAAGTGATTAATTTGGAATTGACAATTATAATAAGTAGTAATAAATTTTATCAAAAATATAATTAGGCCGTGTGGTCCCAGCATAGAATAGGCCATCCCTTCCTTTCCCGTGGATGTCGTAAGAGCCGACTAACGGAGGGCGAGGGATGGGTAACAGCATACATATCAGGTGGAATGCCGTGTGGTCCCGACATAGAATGAGCCACTCCTTCCTTTCCTCTATCGTAAAGGGCGACTAAGGAAATTTAATGGTCGAGGAAAGGGCAGCAGCGTCTCAGAACATAGTCAATGCCTTTTTTTTTATACAACATAGAATGGCAAACAAGCTTACGGCCCACCTGATGTAAAGTGGTAACTGTCACCTATAGACATGAGCAGTACCATGGACATAACAGAGTATACTGTTTCGCCCATGATACCCCCCATGCGTTGCCATTCCTGAGGACTCAGGTGTTATTCCTCTGTACCCTGTAAATTCACGCCATATCCTAATCCTTCTGGGAAAGGCTTATATTCATCAGTGGATAGTTAACAGCTGAAATAATAGGAGATATTTAAAAAAAAAAATATGTATGAAGCAACTACCGACAGAAACCCTTGCAGGGAAGGCCTACGTTTAGCAGTGGACAGTTATCGTCTAATACGACGATTAAAACAGACTACTCTTGTGTCAGCCATTTACTGTTCTTTGCTGAACACATCCTCCCACATAAGGGCGGTTTTGATATACCAAAGCAGACCATACTTATGACTAATGGCCATACTAATGATTTCGGATTCACCCTGTATATCCTTAGGAGTTTCTTTTTTAACCGTGAATTTTTCGACCTTATATATTGGCGACTGTTTCATATCAGTTGTCGTACCGCGACCGTTCCTGTAATATATCTCCGTATGTATGTAAATGTACAGCGATTCCCTCCAGATATTTCAGGTTAAGGCATTCTGTTTCCGATATTGCGCAATTTATGAGTTATGACGCATTATGTGGGGTCTCACTGTGAGCGGAGTCTGATTTTATTCATACCTACTATCTAGTTTAAACATGTATATGCCTTTAAGAGCATTAATAACTTTAGCCTATTGAGATGTAATTATAATCTAAAAGTAATATTCTAAAAGCTAATTGTCAATCATTCATTTAGTTAATTGATGCACTTGGTCAAAAAATAATAAGAAATAAAAATGATAAGCCGGTAAAATTGTTATCGCTGCCGCTGGCCGTGCGAGAACAGTAAGCGGGGCGCCGGAGGTGAGGTTCGCAGGAAAAACTATATAAACGTGCGCTAAGAAATTGCTAAATAGGCCGTCCTTTTTAAAATTAGTGCAGTACTTTCACACACGTCAAAATACCATATTGTATAAAAAAAGTTGTTATAAATAATATACATACCAAGTTGTATAAAAAAAAAATATAAAAAAATAACTTTACTAAAATGTGTTGGACATTTTAAAAGTTACACAAAGAAATATTGCACCCGTGCGAAGCCAAGGCGGGTCTCTAGTTTTTTTTTAACGGATGATAATGAAACGGTAACCCTACCTGCGCTAACGGTATACGCTGGCGGGGCACCAGTGAGAGATGATAGGTGAGAATGAAAAAGCAGGTCAATTAGCCCATCGTAATTAATACACCTGGAATTTCCAGAGGAACCACGGGGATATCGACTTGGTTGGGTATATTGCTAGCAATAGGGCCATTACTAACAATCCCTTCCCCAAGTTTATAATATTAATAAGGATGGCCCACCGTATCACTAAGCGCTCTCGTCGCGACCATACCCCACACGCCACGCCGTCACGTAGGCCATAGGCGGCGCGGATGCGTTTTATCGGCTAAGTGAAATTATCGCTGATCGCGACGCGGCACGGAGTCGATACATCACAGTTATCGTCCCTTTGTCGTTGGCACACGATTTTCTTATCTATCTTCATACCAGGTCCCTTATGGGGTAGACAGAGAGAAGCGAGTTCCAAAAGTCTTTATTCCTACACAATTTCTTTGCCTCATCTTCTTTTATCTCTTTGTTATCTTATTGAGGGTATCTAGCAGTCTCGATCTTTGGAAGTCACATTGAATAACGCAGCAAGCATTGTCTAGTAGAAATCTTATTAAATGCAAATAGATGGTTTTTTTTCAGTATTGAAGGGTCCCGTGATTGATCATGATCTCAGCTGATTTCACATTTTCACATTTCACATTTGCCTTAAATTAGGGCAGATTATATTTGAATAGAAAACCATAAGTATATGGATAACGTGTCGACAGTAAACCGCCTTCGATATTGTTGGAGGGGTAAGAGATGATAGATGAAGATGAACTCAGAGCAGTCGGCCCATCGTGACGAATTTACCAGGAATTAGCCACGATAGTTTTCAGCGAAAGCAGCGTGGAGGTCGACCTAATTATATTTCTTGCAATGTAGCCGGTTGTCCCCTTTACTAACCCTCTTCCATTGGGGGGAAGGGGTTATTAGTAATGCCAACTACTAGTCCCATTGCTAGCAATATACCCTATCAGGTCGACCTTCACGTGGTCCTCCCTGGAAACCATCGTGTTGAATTCTAAGTGTATTCATCACGATGGGCTAACTGACCTGCCTTTTCATTCTTACCTGTCTTCTCTTATAGATACCCCGCCAGCGTATACCGTAAGCGCAGGCGGGGTTACCATTCCATTATCACCCATTAAAACAAAAACCCCCTCCCGACGCTATAATCTTTATTGTTTATTCCACCAGACATCACAAGACGGGAATGTGACCAGTAGCATCCTGACCTTCGTGCCAGCCATTGCTGATGCTGGCAAGGAGCTGACCTGCCGAGCGGTCCAGCCCTCACTCTCCCGATTGCCTCAAGAAGATGGATGGAAGATGGAGATACAACGTAAGCAGTTTTTTGTCTAACTCCAAAAAAGAGTTTTATTCTTTTCAGGTATGTATATCTGTCACATTCATAACTTTTAAATAAAAAAGAAGTCTTGTCTTTTTAAACCTAAATAAAAGATATGTATTTTTTTTTATTCTAACCGGTTTGTTTAGTGTTTTGGGTCTAGCTTTTCTAAAATACTATATATAAATATGGTCCGACTATTTTGGAGGGCAAGGGATTGTTAGTAATGGAGACTGAGAATCCCATTGCTAACAATATACCCAACCAGGTCGACCTCCGCGCGGTTCTCCCTGGAAACTATCATGGTTAATTCCTGATGAATTCATCATGATGGGCTAACTGGCCTGTTTTCATTCTCATCTATCACCCTTCACTGGTGCTCCGCCAGCGTATCCCGTTAGCGCAGGCGGGGTTACCATACCATTTTCACCCATAAAAAAAAAAAAAATAGTCCGACTATATATACTCGTAGATAAAGTTTTACTATATCTGTCAGTTTTTAAATTTTATTAGCGGAAAGAAAAATTAGAATTTTCTACACTATTGTTCCGTGCGAAACCGGGGTAGGTCACTAGTAACGAAATAAAACGAAACATCAAAAGTATGATTAGGTACAAAACAATTGCACAGTCATTAGCTCTTTCAAAACGTACTTTTTTAGTTTTTTTGCATAATTTCACACTTCTTCTCACATCATAACAATCCTGGTAAGCCGTTAGTTTATGGGGACACTAATGCCCAGTTTACACTATTCAAGTTGTTACGTTTATTTTAGTTTGTTATTGTTGTTAGCGAACTTTGTTTTCTGCGTGTAAACAACTATTTAAGAGGCAAGTTTGCCGTTAAGATATTAAGTATATAATATGTAGTCTATTTCTTAATTAACTAAACCAAATATTATACTTACTCGTGTAAAGAGTGCTCCAAGCAAATGATAAATTCATCTATCGATAGATACGTTATCACTATTGCATATATATAAGAGAGAACAAAACTGTTACGTCTTTCTTTTTTTACTACTATCCCGTACCGTACCGTACCGTGCCGTGCCGAACCGTACCGTACCGTACCGTACTCTCTATTACATTAACATAGTAACAAAATAAAGACAGAATACAGATATTTTCTGTTCCTTATGGCAGTCTATCGAAGAGACCTATGTTCAGCAATGGACAGATAACGGCTGCGATGATGATGATGATGATGATGATGATAAGAGAAATTTTGAAATTTTAAATCATAATTTTTCTTATTCAAATTCTTCACTTCTTGTTTTCCAACCAAAATACTGGACCGATTTTAATAAAATTTCTACGAGACCAATCTGAACGTATATCCTTTCAAATAAAAATAAGGAATAATACAAATCAGTTCATAAATGACGGAGTTATATTACACACATAAAAAAAGTGTACAATAGAATTGAGAACTTCCTTCTTTTTTGAAGTCGGTAAAAAATCATTGTAATTCTATATAAGTCTATTGAACTCTTCTTTGCATAATGGTGGAAATTTCCATCATAACATTGAATGCCCAAAAATTATATAAAGGAACTATTTCACTTTAAGTTGATCGTGTCTGGATACCTTTTTAATGTCTATTGCAGAAAAAAAACCACAGCTGTCAAATTTATTTTTTAACCATTTTTCCTTTAATTTTGAACATGAATTATATCACCTTGATTTATTTCACCAATAAAAAAAATCATGCAAATTATAGTAACGATTATAATTCTTTGCCAGATCTGCCAGTAGTAAAATTGGAGCTTGGAGCGAACCTGGACGCAACCAAGGTGGTGGAAGGATCCGATGTATACCTGGACTGCAGGGTGAAGGCGAACCCGTGGCATAATCATGTCTACTTCATGCACAATGTTAGTATTCTTTTTTAATAATTGATATGGTAAACTCGCTTGCGCTATCGGTATATGCTATCAGGGCACCAGTGAGGCACCTATGATAGTAGGTGACCCCCTCCTACTCCTTCCTTTCCCATGGGTATCGTAAGAAGCGACTAAGGAAGAGCAAGGGATGGGTAGTAGCATCCCTTTTAAAACATCTCTAAAGCCTAACCGCGGTTGTCAGTGCGCCTGCCAAGCGTGGCAACTACTGGCCAATCCCCCCAAGTGGAGTGCTTATGTTCAGCAGTAAACAGGATAGAAAGGTTGATATGATGATGATGATGAGTAGATAATAAAAAAATAAAAAAAAAGTATTTTAAAATAAAAAAATATTTTAAAAAAGTAAGTTCATAAAAGTATTTTACAGTAAACAGAAAAAGTATGAAGGAATGAAATAATAAATGATAATTGTCCAAAAATTATAAAAGTAATAAATATAATTGGTAATTGGGCGTCAAATAACAAAAAAATGTGATCAATTAACAAAAAAAAAAAATGGTCAATTGGTAATATTAGTAAGATCAACTACTTTACTAAATTGTACTCTATCTTTGCAGGGTGTAGTAGTGAAACCAGGACCTGGTGTCTTGCTCGCGAATCAGAGTCTAGTCTTGCAACGCGTCTCCCGAAGAGCAGCTGGCGCTTATGTCTGCTCAGCCAGGAACAGTTTAGGGGAAGGCTCCAGCGACAGTCTCGTTTTGGATGTTAAATGTAAGTAAAACAGCGTCATATTTATTTTTTTATTTGTTTTTAATTTATTTTAATATTACATCTGAAATCAACAGCTTATATCTTTAATAATTAAAAATATTACATCTACACCGTACATTAGCCAATTGCAGATTCCCAATTTGTATACCAGACAATGTTATGCTTATTTTTGAAGGGTAGGTTAAATTAAAATCTATGGAGATATTTATTTGAAACGTCGCATCACTGGCAATTCAGCAATAATTAGTGTAAGAATAAAAGTGTGTGTTAGTTGTGTGTGTAATATTTTTTTAATGGATGAAAATGGAATGGTAAACCCGCCTGCGCTATCGGTACACGCTGGCGGGGCACCAGTGAGAGATGATAGGTGAGGGTGAAAGCAGGTCAATTAGCCCCTCGTGAAGAAATTCATGAAAATTAACCACGACGGTTTCCAGGGGGAACCGCGTGGAGGTCGACCTGATAGAGACCATTGCTAGCAATGGAACTGTTAGATCCCATTACTAACAATCCCTTTTCCCCCTGTGTGTAGTGTTGCGTGAATGTTATTTACAAAGAAACAAAATGTCGTGTGGCGTAAAAATTGGCAGGCGTTCCACAAGGAACGATTCTTGGTCCAATTGTCTATATTCAACTTACATACTAGCTCCTTATATCGCCTACCCTGAATATTTTTCTCAAAAAACGTTGATGGTAAACCTACAAGATTTTGAGCATCTCCTAGCAACTTGAAAGTTGAATACACAGTGTATCTTACTAGTACTAGTATAATAAAATTGATGATGTACATTGGACATCGCCGTGTAGGTCCCGATATAGAATGGATCACCCCTTTCTTTCCCGTGGGTGTCGAAGAGGCGACTAAGGAAGGGCGAGGGATGGGCAGCAACGTCCCTCTTAAAACATCTTTAACTGCTAACTACTAACTGCGGTTGCCAGCCCGCCTGCCAAGCGTGACAACTATTGGCAAAACTCCCCGTATAGGGTAGACTTACGTTCATCAGTAAACAGTAAACGGCTGAAATAATAGGAGATATTAAAAAAAATTATGTATGTAGCCTAATAAGACTTTAAAACTAAGACAATATTTTTTTAAAATTTTGTCTCTCTGACTGTATGTTTGTTCCGATATCACGCAAAAATTATTGCACCAAATTGAAGCCGAAATCAACAGTTGTGTTCCTGTAGGTGTAACGTAAAATATAGTGCATTTTTTATTTTTATATGCCATCCAAAAAATAGCCCATTTTATTGGTTTCCTATTCCTAAAATCCACACGTACGACGTAGCGGACAAAAAGGTAGAAAATTAATAAAAAAAATATGCAGATATAATTGAAATGCGCAGATTTAATAAAAAAAGACAAAATATATTTTTATAAAAGCATAACAATATTACACAGTTTATCCATTAAAAATAGTTAGAGAAAGAAAGGAACAGCACTAACAATATTCATAAACAGTGCAGCCAATATATGAGTTTAAACAATTGCCACAGATAATGTTAATTATTGTGTTACACTGCATAGATAAGTAAAAAAAAAATAATAACATGTAAATTGTCAACGATAGAGGACTAATAATGAATGAATAATGCTTTTATTATTTAGAATTCTTTCTGTATTTTTATAGCAAATTTTGATATAATTTATTTCAGACTCGCCTACCTGCAAGTCCACACAGCCGTTGGTGTTAAGGGCAGCCAGAGGAGAAGTGGTCGAGATTGAGTGCGAGGTGGACGCCAACCCTAAGGTAATTTAATAATAATAATTATTATTATTATAGATTTTTATCCACTTCAGTGGTCCCCAAGGGTAAAAGCCTCCTCCATCTTTTTCCACTTCTCCTTATCTGTAGCAATATTTGTCCAGTTTTTTTCCTGCTGGACCACGCCATTTTGTTGTTTGGAGAGTCCACCTTTTATCTTTGTACCTCACTATATGACCTGCCCATCTCCACTTCTGTTTCATACTATACTGAAGAGCATCTTTTATTTTGGTTTTCTTCCTAATATCAGTGTTTCTTATTTTCTGTATTTTTCTTAATTTAATAATTAAATTTAATAATTAAGTACATCTAAATATTACACTTTTTATATAGTTTTCAGTGTTTTAATTGAGCAAAGAATATAAAGTTAATATTTCAGTTGGTCAGGAGTACTTTTAAATGAATTACTAAAAGGTCAAAAAATAAAAATATACGTTTTGTTAAATGTAAATTAAAGTATTTTTTGAAGTAAGTAGAACAATGCTTGCTGAATAAACTGTTATTTATTTGTTTTGTATTTTAAACGAGTCTTATGGAAGAGATCAATCCAATGTCAGTCAGATTCATGTTATGAGCTTTCCGATCTATAAATAAGGGTAATAACCACGAGCCTACGTCGAAATTTAAATACAATATTAATAAAAATGTAAAAAGACTGTATCTGTACATGGAATATATTATGAAAACAACGGATGTGAAGAGTCTTAGTAAGAGCATACATACATACATATCTGTGACACCTGTCTCCCATTAGGGAGACTTACTAAAAGCGATAGAACATAAAACAATATTTAAAAAAAAAATGTTTGTCTATCCATCTGTATCCGATATCTCGTAAAAACCACTGCACCAACCATCTATTTCAGTGGATTTCCTATTTTTTAAATCCACGCTTACGAAGTAACCCACTTCATAGTAATAACATATAATAATATATGTTTATCTCTCTCTCTGTCTCTCTCTCTCTTTAGTCGTACACTCTTGACAGAGTGGTCATGGTTTTTATGATGACAGTGCATTGTCGATGAGGCCCTCCTTCGCGACTGAGGTCCTCGCAATGCGTCTCCATCTACTTCTGCTCACAGCTGAGCGAGAGCATTCCACAAGATTCCACAATTTTTACCAGAGGAAGACTTTGTACAAAAGTCGATTGCTTGGGTACCTCTGTCCCATTCGTGTTTCAACCGAGAAGCAGCTGTGTTTACATGGCTGTGTTTCGGTTTCAAGGGTGGGATATGGCGTGAATTTACTGGGTACAGAGGAGTAACACCTGAGTCCTCAGGAATGGCAACGCATGTGGGGTATCATGGGCGAAACAGTATACTCTGTTATATCCATGGTACTGCTTATGTCTATAGACGACGGTTAACACTTTCCATCAGGTAGGCCGTCAGCTTGTTTACCATTCTAAGTTGTATAAAAAAAAGTGCATACGGGTAAACGTTTATATACACAATACATAAACCTGTTATCGGACATTGACTTCTGTCTACTGTTTTATTCTCCATACATTTTCCTATCTTTAATTTCGATATTCTAGTAAAACAAATTACGTATAGAGGTACCTTATCGACTCTTGATACGTGATTATCATCCTTATTCCATTTATTATACGGTTCTAATTTAAATATTCTACCGTGAGTTGGATATTAAATTTATTACTTAGTTACAAACTCATATTTTACGAATAGTTCTCTACAGTATTACGATTAATCGGTAAATCGAATTCATTTATCGGTAATATTTCAAACTATCGATGCTTTATTAAACATATTTCAGGATTATCTCCGGTTAGATTTGGTTGGGTTTAAATGGATTATAGTTGACAAATCTGGGAACTTTTCGCATGGATTGAGGTCGTGTCAGTCTCGATTACAACCGACTTCAAAGAAGAAGTTCTCAACTAGATTATACATACTGTCGACGACATATTATACATACTGACGGCCCACCTGATGGAAAGCGGCAACCGTCGCCTATAGACATGAGCAGTACCATGGACATAACAGAGTATACTGTTTCGCCCATGATACCCCACATTCGTTGCCATTCCTGAGGACTCAGGTGTTATTCCTCTGTATCCTGTAAATTTACTGCAATATCCCATCCATCAAACCGAAACACAACCATGCAAACACAGCTGCTTCACGGTAGAAATACGAATGGGACAGAGATGCCAACGACTTTTGTTTGTCTTCCTCTGGTACAAAATTATTATGAACTAGCGACCTGCCCCGGCTTCGCACGGGTGCAATACTGATACTAAATAGCGCCGCATTATTTGCCTCCCACATTATTTTAACCTATCTCATAGGATTCAGTCAGCGTTTGCAATGTAAGCGCAAAAAAATGTGTTTGTGTACGACATTACATTAGAAACCTCTAAATTTATCAGTGTTTCTCTACAATATTATGCATGTATTATACATATAAACCTTCCTCTCGAATCACTCTATCTATTAACAAAACCGCTTCAAAATCCATTGCGTAGTTTTAAAGATGTAAGCATATATAGGGACGGACAGACAGCAACAGCGACTTTGTTTTATACTATTTTATTAAACGGTTTTATTATTATGAATGAATACAATATGAAATCTGAATATTTTAATTGCACGCAATCAAAATTTGAGTATACTTATATTACGGGACAATTAGCTCGTTCTGCTCGTATTTAATGAGTAGAGAGTGACACAAAGAGCTTCGTCAAGACGTTCGCTTGCTATCTAAATTTAGTATATTATTCCAAGAGTTTTATTAATATTATATTAGATTTATATTTAACCAACTTAGAATGGCAAACAAGCTGACGGTCCACCTGATGGAAAGTGGTAAACGTCGCCTATAGACATGAGCAGTACCATGGACATAACAGAGTGTACTGTTTCACCCATGATACCCTCTATGCGTGGACCTTTGGTTCCCTAACTATGGTTCCCCCCCCCCCTCAAGGTGTGATATATCATGATTTATCACACACTTATTAACTATATGTGTTAACTAAACTATTATGGAGAGGAAGGATTTGGTTTTTTGTTTGTAATGGATAAACTAAAAAAGATAGGTAAGTACTTAAACGATTTAAAAAATTCTTTCACCTATAGAATGAATGAATGAGTATACCTTATTTGCATTTTTTTTTTTGATGGGTGAAAATAGTATGGTAACCCCGCTGCGCTAACCCTGCGCTAACGGAATACATTGGCGGAGCACCAGTGAAGGGTGATAGATGAGAATGAAAACAGGCCAGTTAGCCCATCATGATGAATTCATCAGGAATTAACCATGATAGTTTCCAGGGAGAACCGCGAGGAGGTCGACCTGGTTGGATATATTGCCAGCAATGGGATTCTCAGTCTCCACTACTAACAATCCCTTTCCCCCTACTTTATTTGCATTATACATTTGTATAGGAAATAAGCAAGGCAATTTACAAACACAACGATACAATTGTATAAGTACAGAAGGCGGTCTTATTGCCGAGAGCAATCTTTTCAAGACAACCTTAAAGACAACCTATAGAAGTTAAACAACACAAAAAACCGACAAATTTATTATTTATATAGTTAAACTTTTTGAAAAAAACAGCTGAATTCTTGCCCGTTCTTCGTGGCTGAAATTACGTTCCGAATGGGCGATAATGAAAAAAATTACTATTAAAAAATGTTTAAATCTAAGTTTAGTACTTGAATAAAATTATTTCTATTTTTTTTTCCGTACAAAGCCAGTGCGGGTCGCTGTTAAATAATTTTGTTTCGAATTAAACGTGAATACAACATTGTCACAAGCATTTTCAACTTGAAATTGTTTTGTTCGTACAAACAGCACGTGAAGCGTGGGTACAGTGTTTAAGTGACGTACACAGGAGAGCTGGCTGCCAGCCAAATCCCTACCTGCAATGTGTCTGGCTAAATCAGAGGACTTTCCACACACAGTTAGGGCCGCTCCTGAACGACATCATGCGCGTAATTTAAGCAAACAAGCGCACAGATTTAGTATGTCTATTTATTTATTTTGTGATACATAGCTAACAATGGATGGTAAAACAAGATATGTTCTCCATGATCAACCCCATCTATCGAGATATACAAATTCGCATTTATATAAGAGTAATATATGGTATATTTAAAAAAATTATAAATTTATGGAAATTTATTGCATTTATCTCTAACAAAATCGTCAATTGAATAGTACGTTCTGTTTACTAGGTATTCATACAGTTTAGTTTTGTGTTTTTTTATTTATATGTCATAGCATAAAATAGCAAAAAGTCTGATTTTGACTGAAGTAATGCGCGCAATTTTTGAAATAGACACATAAATATATTTGAATCATACTATTAATATATTAAAGGCAAAAGTTTACAGTTACATAGGATTTTTTAAATATTAATTTACGTGGGTTTTCACCCACTAGCTACAGCTAGTTTAAAAATAATTGTCACTTGCTTTCATGCTTTAGGAGACATGTAAAGCTGTCGTTCGGTAAATCACGTTAGAGACTTTCGTATATAATGGAAGCGACCTTTTATAAATAATTGATAGTAGAAGGTACTTCTCTCATATGAATAGTAGAGCAAAGAAAAATCAGTAGTTCATCATTTTTGAAGTCAAGGAAAGTTTTTTTACACTTATGTTTGTGTTGTTTTCTTAAATTTAATAATGAAATATAAATAAATTTATTAAAATTAAACAACTACTTTCACTAGCTGATATTCGATTTTTTTTAATGTGTAATAATGGAATGAGAACACCGTCTACGCTATCAATGTACGCTGGTATGGCACTAGTGACAGATGATATATGAGGATGAAATCAAACCAGTTGACCTAGCGTATAAAAATACTATATATGTCGCAATGTATTCTCTAATGTTAGTAGTGCTATTGATCTGTATAAGTGACAGTTATCACTTTCCATTAAGTAGGTGGAATATATTACAAATTGTTGGATAAAAAATATAATAATAATATTTTAAAGTATATAATAATCATGTACTTACCTTTTCAATTCATCAATCTATAATTAGCACAGTCTAGAATTAGTTGAATTAAAGTTGCAATATATTTGCACTAACTCTCAGTCTGAAATGGCCCTAACGATTGATTGTTCACGTAACAAAAACTGTCACGTAGAAAAAGTAAACAAACGGTTGACCTGCCCGTTTATATATAGATAAAAGGAACGTTTGTTTTTAAAGAAATAAAACCAATTTCAAAAGACCTTTGAGAGAGACTAGCGAATTACTTCTCAAATACAAAAATAAAAGCCTCTTTTGTTTTCATAAAATTTCTTCTTGATAATATTTTATAAAGATATTACTTTAAAGGTCCAATTAGCACCTTGTACAGTTGTACCTCTGAACATAACAAGGGGTACCAACATCAATTTTAAAATTTTCAACTCTAATTACCTCCCCTTCAGAACCATACATACACCCGTGTTTAATGTAGGGCGAAAGAAATTTTTGGTAGGACAGAAGCCATAATTGACTTCGAAAAAGCGAATCTGTCTAATTTTCTTGGGATCTTTCATTTTGAGGTAGGGCATTGGACCTTTTAAGGTAGGGCATTGCCCTTCAATGCCCCCTCCCCTTAGCTACAGTCATGCTCCTCTTTGTTAGTCAGTTTAAATAATTAAATTTGTTAAATATGCTAGCTAGCTTCAAAACCTCTGTTAAAGCCCATTATCTCTCCTTTTAAGTAACTATTTTTTGCCATGTTCTATCTTCATCTTCCAGTGTCACTCTCTCCTGTTGTATGTGTACTTTTAAGTTTTGTGTATGTTTATGTATGTATTTGTTTATGTATATATATGTATATACATATATATGTATATATCTTTGTATATATTTGTTTATATATAATAGTGCGCCACCTACCCTTTGTTTTTCTTTCTTTTCTCAATGTTCTCTACCCAAAGGTTGTCTGGAAGAGATTGCTTAGCGATAAGGCCGCCTTTTGTATCATTTCTTATTACAGTTAAATGTGTTTACTATTTTATAAATGGTGCAATAAAGTGTACATAAATAAATATGCCAATCTATTTTAAAATTAACGTGGTGAATTCCACAAGAATTAACCACGATGGTTTCCTAGGGGAACCAACTGGAGGTCGACCTAATAGGGTATATTGCTAGCAATGGGGTTGCTAGACTCCTATTACCAACAATTTCCCCAAACCATCATGGTCAGTTCTAGTTAAATTTGTCAAGATGTGCTAACTGACCTGCTTTCACCTGTCACTGATGCCTCGTCAGCGTATGCCGGTAGCACAGGTAGCAGCAGCAGGGTTCATCCGCAGCCCTTTACGGGGCTGCAGGTGCGGGCCTCGAGCTAGAGCTCTTTGCCCAGGCAACACAGGCAGGGTTACCATTCCATTATCATCAATAAAAAATAGACGTTTTGAAGTTCCATTAAAATAATTTGAATTGCCTAATAAGTTTATTCAGCAAATGTTGGTATATTTACAAAGAAGGTTCATACAGAGTAACATAACATGTATAGGAGGTAATGTTTGGCGAAATGGTCCCCTCTCAACGCTATGCTGCAGCCGAAGAGCTACAGCGCTGATTTTCAGCGGAAGCCTTTCTAGTAGAGCTTCATTTAAATTGATATACTCACATAATAATAATTCAAAGATTAACTTAAACAAAAACACGGGGTTTTTATACATTAAGATAATATAGTAAGTATATTTTGAAGGAGACATTGTACAAAAGTCGATTGCTTGGGTACCTCTGTCCCATTTGTGTTTCAACCGTGAAGCAGTTGTGTTTGCATGGCTGTGTTTCGGTTTGAAGGGTGGGATATGGTGTGAATTTACAGGGTACAGAGGAATAACACCTGAGTCCTCAGGAATAGCAACGCATGGGGGGTATCATGGGCGAAACAGTATACTCTGTTATGTCCATGGTACTGCTCATGTCTATAGGCGACAGTTACCATTTTCCATCAGGTGGGCCGTCAGCTTGTTTGCCATTCTAAGTTGTATAAAAAAATATGTATTTTTTACTATCATTTTGATTTTTTTTTCCAACAGGAGTCAATGGCATATCACTGGTGGTTCAACAGCTCTGCTCATATCAAACACGAGTTGACTAATTCGCCAATCACGTCATCACAGAATGCGCCCAGTAAGTATATGAATCCTATGGTCCCGGCATAGTAAGGGCTACTACTTCTTTACCAGTGGGTGTCGTAAGAGACAAGTAAGGGATAGGATATAGAATAGTCGAGGAATGGTAAGTAATGGAGTAGTATTCCTCTTAAAATATCACCAAAACCTAACTGCAGTTATCACCAACCAAGTGGGGCAATTGCTTTCAAACCCCTTTTATGGGGAAATTGTGACTGATACAATAAAATAAAATGTATATATTCCAAAATAACCGTGTAGGACCCGGTATAAAACAAGCCACCCCTTAATTTCTCGTGGGTGTCGTAGGAGGTAACTAAGTGAATGGTCGAGGGATGGGCAGCAGCGTCCCTCTTAAAACATAACCAATGCCTAACTGCTAAGTACTAACAATGCTTCTCTTATCTATATCTCTTATATATATATATATATATATATATATATATATATATATATATATATATATATATATATATATATATATATATATATATAACACTGTACAAGCAAAATTTAATGATGAATAGCTAAGCTGGCTAACGCCAAGAAGTAACAAAAACAGTTTCTCATCCTTACTAATACCAGATTACTATTACCAGAGGGAGACTTTGTACAAAAGTCGATTGCTTGGGTACCTCTGTTCCATTCGTGTTTCTACCGTGAAGCAGTTATATTTACATGGCTGTGTTTCAGTTTGAAGGGTGGGATATGGCAGTGAATTTACAGGGTACAGAGGAATAACACCTAAGTCCTCAGGAATGGCAACGCATGGGGGGTATCATGGGCGAAACAGTACACTCTGTTAGTACTCTGTCCATGGTACTGCTCATGTCTATAGGCGACGGTTATCACTTTCCATCAGGTGGGCCGTTAGCTTGTTTGCCATTTTAAGTTGTATAAAAAAAAAAATTAAAAAACTTTGTTTGTCTTAGCCTTCTTAACGACTCAACCAATCTTTATAAAATTATGTATACAGGTAGCATGCAGTCAGTTGGAAAAGAGCAATTGAAGCCTCAAACATTGCTGTTAACATATTGTTATTTCAACAGGTACATTTATGTATATGGTGAACACATCATCGGACTATGGGTGGGTCCAGTGCACCAGTATCAACACAGTCGGACCACAGAGCAAGCCGTGTCTCTTCCATATATTGCCCGCTGGTATGTTTTTTTTTTTTTTTAATGGATGATAGTGGAATGGTAATCCCGCTTTCGCTATCGGTATACAATGGCGGAGCATCAGTGAGCGATGATAGGTGAGGACGAAGCAGGCCAGTTAGCCCACTGTGACTAATCTAACAATAAATCAATCATGATGGTTTCCAGGGGAAACCACGAGGAGGTCGACCTGACAGGGTATATTGCTAGCAATAGGGCTACTAATCTCCATTACTAAGGACGTTTCATATAATAAAATCGAATATGCCAAAAGCATATACTGAACCGATTTTAATTATTGCTTTTTTTAAGTTTAGTTTTTACATCGATTCGCTTTCGCACTAATTTTGTTTCAATTTTAAGTCAATTGTAAAAAAAATATTAAATTATTTAGGCAATTTATTACCAGAGGGAGACTTTGTATAAAATTCGCTTGTATGGGTACGTCTTTCCCGTTCGTGTCTCTACCGTGAAGCAGTAGTATTTACATGGCTATGTTTTAAAAACGTAGAATATGGCAGTGAATTTACAGGGTACAGAGGTATAACACCTTAGTCCTCAGGAATGGAAACACATGAAGGATATCATGGGCGACACAGTATACTCTTATATCCATATTACTGTTCATCATGTCTACAAACAAACGGTTACCACTTTCAATCAGGTGGACCGTTAGCTTGTTTGCCATTTTAAATTGCATCAAAAAAAAAAAAACTGCATTACACATACATTAACGTCTTGTATGTAAGAGTACATAATTTCATAAATATTCAAAACATGCATTAATTAGTTGTCGAGACCTAATAAAAATACAAACCTTGCCTAGTTAATCGTTGATCTAGACGAAGCTTGCATTTTTTATTGCGCGTACATACTTTGTTGAAAGTTTTTTTTTTACTTTGTAAGAATAAATAAAATATGTATATAGAAAGCACAAGCGTTGTTCTATTACATTAGCATAGAAAAACATGCAAATAAGTACTTATGCCTTTAGTAAGATTTTCCATAAAAAATACTTCCTTGAATTGTGACTAAATCAGTTATTTTGTACTGTATGTCATTTTAGAAGAAAAATAATAATCTAAATAGGTTTATTAATAATATATGAGGTAACAAACATAAGTAAATAAAATTGTGTTGTGTAAAAAAAAATATATTATAGAAAATAGTTCTCTATTCACATAAAAAAAAAGTTGTTAATCAAATTTACTTGCAACACTGAATAAATGGCGCGCTTTGTTTTGCATTAAAAAAAAAAACTTGTTTTGGCTGATCGTTTTTAGCCCCTTTTTTGATATTCTTGAGGATTTAAACGTAAGACGTATTACTAATACTGAAAGTGCGAAATAATCTAAATCTTTCCTATAAAAAACCGCTATTGTAGCTAGATAGTTTTCGCGCCATTATTCTTCTTTTTTTTTCCAGACAAGCCATCAACGGTAAAGGCGTGCGAGATAACCAACGTGACGTATGACTCGCTAACCCTGAACTGCACGCCTGGACACGACGGCGGAATTCGACAGTCGTTTTTGCTACAAGTGAGTTTTTTTTTTTACAAAGGAACTCGCAAAGAAGCTTCGGTAACAATAAGATAATGCTTTATTTTATATATATAATGAAAATCTTAGATTATTAAACCTCAAAAACGGGTCAACTTTTTGTCAGCTAATTGTCGTATTAGCTGTCAAATTATTTACATTATTAAAATTTTATTGAATCTGAGTGTTTTATTTTCTGGGCCGTGTGGTCCCAGCACATAATTAGAGGTCGTAAGATGCGACTAAGGGAACTTAATGATCGAGGGATAGGCAGCAGCGTCCCTCTTAAAACATCACCAAAGTCTAACTGCAGTTGCCAATCTGCCTGCCAAGCGTGGCAAAACCATCCAAGGTTAAATACATACCTCCCATTTGTGTTCAACAATGGACAGTTAGTGGCTGATATAGTGTAGATATTTATTTTACATTTTTTTTAATACGTATAGGTGTTCGATATGACAACCGGCCTGCTACTGAGGAATATCAGCAACGATGAACCAGAGTTCGAAGTGTCCGGTCTCGCGGCTAGCAACGCTCTAGCGGTGTCCGTCAGAGCGTACAACAAGAAGGGGTCAAGTGAGCCCCTGACATTAACGTCGAGCTTACTGAAATACCCCCAGCGGCACACAGGTTAGTGTTACCATATATTTTATGTATGTTTTTTTTTAAGTTTCTTACTTCATAACTCCGTCAGTTCTAAACCGTTCTAATTCTTTATTTAAAAGTATAAACTTATATGATTTTATCAAAATCGATTCCGCAGTTTAGTTTTTAATTCAAAGTAACTGGTTATGTCGTAGTTAAAGTCGGTTTTTTACAGTACACAATCTTTGTTTTGACTTAAATCTATTAGAAATGTAGTTTTTATTGCTTCTTAGAATAAGGATTTGTATGTAATATCAAATAGGAATTTTTATTTTAGAAATATCTACCTTTAAAATAAATATTTCAATTTAATTAAATATAATTTAATCGGCGTAACAATGTTTATTTGTAATGTTATCCATTGTACTACGTTTCACTGTACGAGGTCGCCACTCGAGAACCTCTCTTTCCCGTTCTGTATGATCACTTAATTATTTAATTTGAACGTCTCTCTTCACTTGTAATTATTATTAACAACAAAATAGCTCAGTAACATCGACGTTTAAAACTTAAAAAACAAGAGTTTTGCCCCGTCCGGAACTCTGTGAAACAGATACAAATCATATTATACGTCAAAATAAAGTTGTAATTTGTTTGTCGCGCAAAAACAAAGTACTTCCTGATTTACTGTACTTTTGAAAGGAAAGTATTATAACTTTTGGAAAAGTTCTCGGAATGTTTTTAACACTTTCAATCATAGAAAGTTGTTAATACTGAAATGAGCTCGCACGGCTGTGTTCCAGTTTGTAGAGTAACGTATAGCAGTGAATTTACTGCATACTATTTGTGTAGCAAATTTAATTTAAATCTATCCAACCGTATAAACGTGTTTGCGTAATAAATATTAAATTAATTATGAGAAAGATAAAGAAATAGTTTTATTTAAGTCAACTTAGATTTAAGCATTTTTGAATGGTCATTTCTTTTCATTATCGAAAATAAAATTTAATAAATAAAAAAATAAAATAAATAATGGATTTTTGTGAATACAAACTAAAATATAATATATATATATATTTTTTTTTTGGCATTTCCTATTTAAGAGCTCTTGTCGGTGGAGCTCTTGCCGCTCACTACGATCTTCAGCGAGTCTCTTAACCTCTTGATACGACACGACACTAACTCCTTCCTTGATCTGCTTGATGTAACTATGTCTCGGTCTCCCTCTTCCCCTCCTTCCTTCTATCTTACCTTCTATTATAATGTATGAACATTATATTAACATTAGTTCGTCGTGTCGTATCAAGTGTCCCAACATTTTCTCCGTTCTAACTTCATACATCTAAATATATATGTATTTAAAAAACGAACAGAGTTCATGCCTCCGGTTAAACTGTTTTTAATTGCTCTTCTCCATCCAAAGGTTGCCTGGAAGAGATCGTTCTTAGCGATAAGGCCGCCCATTGTTTTCTCATTGTGATTATTTCTTGTAATTGTTTATATTTATAATAAGTTTACTATTGTAATCTTTTGGAGGAAACAATAAAGAGTATCTATTTATATACAGAAGTCTAGCTATAGAACGTCTGAATGTCCAAGCGCTTTTCTAATATTTCCCGTTCATTAGTAAAATGTGAAATTTTGTATTAATGTTTATTAGGCTAGAGTAATATGAATACTGATCCGATATCTATATATTGGGTTCCCCTGTACATTGATGGCGGAAAAAAGGTCGCCACCCATGTCTATATCGCCCATATCGGTCGGATATCTATTTTCGAATGTGTTAAAAGTCTGTTAATTAAATTATTTTATTGGATAACAGACTTAAAATATTCGTTATTGGACCAGTATATAGATATTGTAACTGAAATAAATAGATATTACTATATATTACTCATCCCAAATGTTTATTACCTATATTGTAAAAAAGCAACATACAATTTCCAATTATAAACAATTAAAATTTGTGTACCACAAAAACCGCACTCAATTGTGACAATACCAGTTATTTAGATCTTTAAACTAAACTGCTGAACCGATTTTGATAAAATTTCTATGACACCAATCTGTAAATATATCCCTTCACATAAAAAAAAAGAATTTTGCAAATCGGTTTAGAACTAACGGAGTTATGTTACCTCATAAACCAATAACCGAATTGAGAACGTTATTTTTGAATTCGATTGAAAATACAGCCAATTTCAGTCGCTTAGCTTGGTAAAGGAAAAAGAATTTTTAAAATCCCCTATATTTTTTTTTAAATTTATTCATTACAAAGAAACATTCAAATCTTTCCTCTTGATATTATTAGTTTTATACTAGCTATTTCCCTAAGGGAGCCTCCCTTAGGGAGGAGAGGAGAGGAGGAGGAGGCTGGTGTCTGATAATGTTACCTCGGTTCCAGCCCAAGTGCCTGTGAAAGTGGAGCTGACGACAGTTCTGATAGTGGTGCTGGCTGCAGTGGGAGTTATAGCCACTATGACGGCTATATCGGCCGCGGTGTTTTGCTGTAGATACTGCAGTAAAAAAGACAGTGAGTAACCCTTTCCTTACGCCGTGTGGTCCAGCCATAGAATGGACCACCCATTCCTTTCTCGTGGGTGTCGTAAGAGACGACTAAGGAAACATGATTGTTGAGGGATGGACAGCAGCGTCCCTCTTTAAACATCACCAAAGTCTACGTTTGTTAAATATAGTAACTACTGGCAGAACCCCCCTTAAGGGGGAAGCCTAAGTTCAACAGATAACGGTCAATATAATAATAATAAACCTTTCCTTTGTCCAGTGAGTAATTTTTCTTTTCTTTTACTTTGTTGGCATATATGTGTCTATTTATTGGTTTAATTTAATACACAATAACATTGTACGTACATTTGGTAGATTTTTTTTTATATATACAATTTAGAATGGCAAACAAGCTGACGGTACACCTGATGGAAAGTGGTAACCGTCGCCTATACACATGAGCAGTACCATGGACATAACAGAGTATACTGTTTCGCCCATGATACCCCCCATGCGTTACCATTCCTGAGGACTCAGGTGTCATTCCTCTGTACCCAGTAAATTCACGCCATATCCTACAAACCGAAACACAGCCATGCAAACACAGCTACTTCACGGTTGAAACACGAATGGGACAGAGGTACTCAAGCAATCGACTTTTGTACAAAGTCTCCCTCTGGCATACTTAACACCGGATTATGTTCTCTACCAGTCAATCACTGGGAAAACAGGGAAATAGATCCTGCATTGAAGAATTAAGGAAATGTAAACTAATATTTAGCATATTTATACATCATCATCATCATCAACATCTACATTACTGTTTTTATTTGCCCTTTAAATATTAGGAATACAAATTAATATTAATTTCTCACAGATAAGAACGAAAAAGTCAAACGGCGTCAAGACGAGACTTCCAATATACCACTTACGGGTACGAAGGAGTCGGAAAGCGTGGATAGTCTTGGTAAGTTTTGTTTTTTTTCTCCAATCATCCCACAGCTGGGTATAGATCTTCTTTTTGTCTCGCTTCTTAGAACGGTCCCGTGAATATTTTACAAAATTTTATCAGTCACGCCTGAATGATTTTTTAATGGATTATTGTTAAATAGTAGCCCCGCGTGCGCTGTCAGTGTACATTGGCGAGGCACCAGTGAGAGATGGTAGGTGAGGATGAAGGCAGATTTGTTAACCCATCGTAACGAATTAAAGAATCAACCACGATAGTTTCCAGGGAGAACCACGTGAAGGTCGACATATTTCAGGTAATGGGGACTAACATCCTCAATACTAACAAACCCTCCCCCTCCTAATATGATAGGACGACACAATGATAGGTGAGGATGAAATCAGGTCAACTTATAATATTCTTTATTAATATTCTTAACTCTTCTATCAGAACACAATCTATTTGATCATTATTACAAGATCATTCAAATTGTCTATAGCATTTTCGTTTATTTACAGACAAAAATCCAGACATCATCCCTCTAGATGGCAAAATAAGTGACAGTTGCTCAAATAAATCGTCCACGACAGACTACAGCTCGATCAGACCCCTCATATCGAAAAATCCATCAGAGAAATACGAAGTAACCAACTGCGACAGGTTTTACGACCACAACATAGATCCTTGCAGCCAATATATACAAGTACGACCAATGGACTATCGGATCCGACCAACGTATCAGACCAACCTAGCACCGATGCCCAACCTTGGACCAAGTATACAAAGTTTGGGACCAATGAGCAGTTTGCACATGCCAAATGTTGGTGCAAATGATTGCCACAGACAACCATATGATAAAGTGTACGAGGATTGGTTGAAATATAAGAATGCTTTGCCATTAAACACAACTGGTTTGGTAAGTTTTTATTGGTAATTTTATTGTTTACGGGCGATGGAGTAATAAAATAAGTCGCCATACTTTTTCACTTACTTTCACCTACTACTTGGGACTGTATCCTAAATGTCTTAAGAGTTCTTTATAGGGCTAATTATAATACATCAATACCCGTGAACTATTATAATTTACCAAAACATCTGGCGCAGTTCTAGTGAGCTAATATTCCCAGTCCAACAATGTATGTCAGTATATTGTATAAATGAGAAAAAGAGTTCATCAAGAAAGGATATTTATTTAGGTGCAATATGCAACTAACTGAAACATAAATCAAGAATTTTAATTACCCAATTTTGTAATCCATTTTTGAGCTACTTCAAAAAGAAAGAGCTTCTAGATTCCCTTGTCTCTACTTTTACTTTAGGATTTAAATATTGGTCACGTATTCGTTTTTGTGATAGATCTAAAATGAAAATGTTGAGAGACCTTTAAATATTATTTACAATTTATTATTAATGACACAAATGATAGGAAAAAAAGCTATTGTAATAAAAACTTTTTGGATGGAAATACCAACGATGTTGCCACAACTGTAGGTGATTTTTTAAAAAGCAAAATTTTTAATTCGGTTTATCTATACGCTTACAATACAAGTCTTAGGTTACAATACCCAGTGACTTCTCTCTCTACTTTATCTCACACTTCAAACTGGAACACAATATCACACACAAATCTGGCATGAGAAAGACAACAACAACTACTACTTACTATACAAACTCTCACAATAATAACTCTCTGTGAAATTAATAAAAACTTGTCTTTTCAGCTACCAGCAGAACAACTGATGCCACCAGAATTATACTCCACCCCTCCACCACCAGCACTCTACAGCAATCCGAACAGAAATCCACTCAATCTAACCCAAATGCCGGAGTTAGAGCCCAGATTTTCTCTAGATCCGAGGCTACAGAAACAACAAGACTCAAGAAGTTGTTCCAACTCCCCACCAGTTAGATTTAACACTGAAAATAACAGTGCATACTTCAGTAAAAGTATGCTGGACAGACCAACCAACACTCTACCCCATTTGAAACCATCCAGGTTGAATGGTATGTACTGTTTTAATTAATGAAAATGGAATAGTGCACCCGCCCGTTTTTTTAATAGGTGATAATGGAATGGTAACCCCGTCTACGCTATCGGGATGTACTGGCGGGGCACTAGAGAGTGATGATAGATAAAGATCAAAAGGCAGGTCAGGCAGCCCATCGTGCTAAATTCCACTAGAATTAACCACGATAGTTTCAAGGAGGAACCGCGTGCAGGTCGACCTGATAGGGTGTACTGCTAGCAATGGGTCAACTAGACTCCATTACTAACAATCCCTTTCCCCCACACCCGCCCGTTATGAAATGGCCGAGACTTATGAATCGTGACCAATTCGCCGGGAATTAAACACGTTTTTTCTGGGAAAACACATGGAGGTCAATGCGTGAAGAACATTGCAGGATTCTTATTAAAAAAAAATTTATAATCTGACAGATTGTATGCAGGTCAAAAGCAGGATAGAAAACGAAAATCCTTTCATTCGTATAATGAAGCTTCTTGCGCTGACGTGCTTGTGAAACTCGATTTAAAACTCAATCCGATTTATGTCTCGATTGATTTTTGAAAACTTTTTTAATCTTTTTTTTTTACAAATCTAAATCTAAATAAAATCGTTCAAAATAAACAAATCGAAGAGCTAGATCCGAGTAGATAGACAAGATATTTATCTCGAACGAATTTATTTAACACGAGAAGTGAAAAAATACTTATAAAATGTCTAGTTCTGATGGATGATTTGTTCATACGTCACTGCTTCTGCCTGGTTTAGGTTCTCGTCTATTGTTGCCAATTTGCAAAGCAGCGCAATTTATTCTGTAAAACTGTCTAGTTTTAAGCGCTCATAATAAGACCCCTGATAATCTCACTGCCATATTTCGCCCTTCAAACCGGATCACAGCAATCAAGGAAGTTTCTTTGAATACTGTTTCTCGGTTTCAGTTTTGAGGACAGAAGTAGGTGAAACAAAAGTACTGTGTAAGTGTGACGACTTTATGCCAAATATGTTTCGGATTTTCAAGATTTCCATGGAAATTTCGGGAATCTTTCCGTTGCCTAGTAAATGCTTTAATGAAAGTAGCTCGATTCAAAAGTTAGATAGATAGATAGATAAACACTTTATTTGAGCCACTTATGACACACGTAAATTAATGAATAAAATTATACAATCTGATTATTTACATTTTTTTCAAATATAAAACAACATATAAAACAAAAAATGAATATTGGAGATATGTTTTCACCAAGTGTGTCGCAGTGAACCATAAAGGTTACAGCTCAGTGATACTTTTGCTTAAAAGCAAAGCACTGATTTTCAGCTGCAAGTTCAAGTTTCTAACATTGACCATTTAGAATGTATTATCAGTAAATCAATCAAACTAAATAATTAGCATACTTTAAGAATTTAGTTATTGAAAATGAATTTTTTTATCTCGAAATAGAAATTTATTTCCAAAGCACGTGTGGTCGGAAAAAGCTTTCTATACTAATTTGGCAGCTGGACATTCCGTTTTTGTTGCGTTTCGTTTTCAAAATTTATTTATCATTTGTTGATCTGTTTTCTTGCAGAAAAATGTTCTCTATCATTATTAAGACAGATTAAATAATTGAAAGACCTTAAAAAGGATGACTGTTTAATTTTTAATGATATATTATACATTTATTTTTCTAAAATTATAACAAAACCTTATCAAGACCTTGCAATAATAAATTTTTATTGATGTGGACATAATTTTAATATTCAATCAAATTATAAATATTAAGCAAATTATACTGCTTAATAATGATAATGATTTCAGTTTTAAAATACAGCACGATAGATACTAAAAATAAAATCGATTGTTACAGAACAGAAAATTAAAAAAAAAAACCGATCAATTAGAATGTAAAAGTTACTCCGGCGCAATTGTTTTTTTAAAACTATTTTCTATTCCGCCTTAAAGCCACTAACAAATGTCAATTAGTTGTTGCAAAAGAACTAAAAAGTATTTCTATTTCAGGGAACTCGACGAATCCACACAGTGAACAGAAAACTAGTGCAACGAAATCGACCGAGACCAATTTAGAACATGTCAAAATTGCCAATCAAGAGTGCGGCTGAGCGATGTTGAAATAAACAAATGTTAACACGTTACGACATGAACAAAGTGATAGTGTAAATTCAAATTATTGTGACTACAATTGTGTACAGATTGACAGTCCCGTCCGTCATTTTCGATTGTGAAGTATGGCTGAATGTTGCTTTGTCTTTGCCGCCTTTGAGTGATACTTTTTTATTCTGTGTCCTCATCTTTACGTGTTTTATATTCTGTATCGGAAACAATACATCTGTATCAATGGGTTACAATTTTTCCCTTGGATTGACCAATAAAAAAAAATATCTCTCAAACTTATGTTGCCATATTGAAAAATTTCATTTTGTGTTATTTCAAATTATTATACACGAGAAAAAGAAATCCTAATGGTTGTAATTATTTAGAGATTTCTGTTCTATTTTTTTTTTTAATAATTGATTGACGATTGCCATAAATAATCTATTTTAACTGTTTTACCAAAAAAAAAAACAAAATGTCATAGAACTGAACTCGATTAGGTCAAACAAAAATTATTTTGGATGTTTTAAAAATAGCAATTAGCTGTTAAGGGCGTATTTGTCAATTTATGATTAGTAAATCGTTAGCTCTGCCGTTGCATCTTCCAGAAGATGTTTAAGACTGAATTTGTAACATATGTAATATGAAAAAATAGATAAAAAAAATATTGTTGGTGTCTGCTGTTACTAGATGGGAGCTTAGGGCTTCAACACCGATGACGAAAGCAAGCATGTGACGCGTCAAATTTTCATCTGATAATCTATCTTAAATATGTTATTAAGTGTTTAATTATAATAAAAAAAAAATCGAATTTTAGTAAAAAAATTACGCCATATTGGTCAAAAATCCCAATTATATTGGTAAAAGAATCGTGTCATTTTAAAAAAATGGACTGTTTTTCTTTTGTAGTGTTTAAAATTAAAACTAATATTCTAAGCATTTATAGATATACACTTTATTTGGACGTTATTTATATTAAAAAAATTAAAAGAGTCTCTTGAAAACCAAGACTTCAATTTTAGATGTACCTTTTAGAGTTTTCACATACTTTTTTTTTTATTAAAGTTTCATTAATTACGTAATTGTGATTGATGTATTTTTTTTTAGTTCACTAATATCTAAACAGCACGTTATATTTTTTTTTATTACGAGTTTTAGCTTGAATACTAGTCCTTAAGCCGTTTAGATGGCTAAGGACTTACTAAATACAAATGTTGCCAGTCTTATGGACTTTATTTGTAAATACTTTTGGATTTTTCCTATACGGGGAAAATAAAAAAAGGTCTATTGTTAATGGAGACATGGTTGATTAATTGCTAACAAATTATATTAAAAGATTGATCGATTCTATTTCAATCTCTTTACTTTCGTCATCATCATCGCGATGATAAATATCATCCTCTTGGGTCATGAGTCTTCTTTATCTAATAAGTTGGTAGATAGGAATGTCTATGGTCGTCTACTGTGTTGAAAGCTTTAAGTGTGCATGCGTTACTAATATTTTTTTTTATGAGTAATGCTTTAAAAATGTGTGTCTATGATTAAACGAAAACAAAAAAATATAAGTGTTCTTTTTTCAAAAGTTCAATAATTTTAACATGTTTGTGAAAACTGCGTGGGAATTATGCATACGGTCTAGGATATGTAGTTGTATTATAAATACATATGTTTTTAAATATTGTGTGTAAATATTGTATATACATAGTTTAAGTATAATATACAAAGAGTTGCCATACTAGTTCAACTTAATATAAGTATACATATAAATATATGTAACCTAAAATACCTATAATGTTACGAACAAACGAGCTTTTATGTTATTAAAAATTGGATATAAATAGTTTAAATTATTCTTAATTTTAATCATTGTGACATGACAGAGGATCATAATTATGTAAATCGTTTCTGTTGTAAACGATAGTCCTTTTAAAATTTGGATACAAGTATGTAGTAAAAAAAAATGTTGCCAACAAAGCAAATTGAGTCACATGTTAGAATTTTTTTCTTTTTAAAACGAAACGTTTGACCTTTTTACTGTTACCAGAAAATAATACAATGAAAAAAATACAATTTTACTAAAACTGACTTTAATTTGTTTTTATAATTATTTCTTTCAATTGGAATATTTTTTTATAATACATAACGGGTTAAAATACACTTAAAAAGTGAATATTTCATATGTGTATAGGTACGTATTAAAATAAATATACTTCTAAGTATATTTGAATTATTGAATCCGTTATATATATATTGAAAAAGTTTATTCAAAAAGCTTACTCGAAAAGGTTCGAAACAATGTTAAAGGGAATGTTTAAGTCTATGATATTTTATGTAGGTATGTGATAAATTGTGACATCGTGTTGATAATGAGATATAAATAACATGACAAGCATGTGAAATTGGATCAAAGTTCATATTTAATTAATTTTCAATGCCATAAAATACAATTAATTTTTATTTATTTATTTTTTTGCTTGTGTAATATCGGAAAATTATTATAAAATTCTTTCTACTCCACGTGATTGGTTGAATCAAAGTCAGAATTCTTTCTATGCTATAAAAAACTTTGTTTTTTTTTTAATTTTCCATTTTTTTTTTCTCTTATAATAATAGAAAATTATTTATTATAAACTACTTACTACATGACGTTAATAAGACATTACAATAGTAACGGCCTAAATTACACTTACAAATCAATTTCTTTATATCTCCTTTTATTTTTTATTTCTTTTATTTCTTTGTACCAAACAAAATTATGTATAAAAAATTATTTTTAATATAATTTTATGAACAAAACATAACACGTAGCTGCCTACACACCTACGTATGTTTACTATGAAGATGGTAAAAACATTTTGAAGTCATATTATTTTTATTATTAAAATAATCAGGTATTGTGATGTGTTCCCTATTTTTATTTCAAACGCGTGGACGTTAATTCATTAAAAAATAAATAACTTCACTCTTCACTACTAATTATAAATAAATAGCCGATTGATAACTTCACTTTAATTTTTTTTTTATCCAATTTTTTATAATACTAATATTCCGTTCAATAAATACAACGACGAGAGAAGTTTTGTCATCCAAATTATATTTGATATAAAAATTGTTAATTTGCAAAACAATAAAATAAAACAAATATATTAATAGCCCTCACCACTACCGACCGCACGCACAAGGCGACAAACAGCATGCTGGTCGCACAGTGCTGTTCGCGACAGCCGTAAACCGCGCTCATGAATAAGGAATTCTGTTAAGCTCGAAACTAGTCGGTATATTATATTGTAATTATTTATCTCTGATTGGGGTAAATTCAGGGATGTCCGATTAGTTTCAAGCTCAACAGGAGTCCTTATTCATGAGCGCGGTTCTTGGCTGCGTCGCAAGCAGCACTGTGCGACCAGCGCGCTGCCTGTTGCTGCTCGCGTGCAATCAGCGGCGGTGATTGTGATAGTGGGGCTGATTTTTATTATATATATATATATATATATATTCAATAATAAAATAAACATTATATTTTCTTCTTAACATTTTTCTGTATTTTTTTTATATTTTTTTTTTTTTTACTTATTGAGTCTAAAATTAAAGGCACTAAAACTACCATAAACTTAATTGATTATAATTAAGTGTCAATTAATTTGTAATAGAAAAAGTTTACGTTGTTAATAGGTATATATAATTTTCAAAGTGCTTAGTTTAACCATTATCAATTAAAAATAATGTTTTATGTTTGACAACATCTCTTAAACTGTATAAACAAATGATATTTTGATAACAATCAGATTGTGAACAGCTTGCTGGCCATTATTTTTATCTGTCAAAAATTGTTTCAATTCTTACCACGATTTATAAATGGCTGTTTCAGTTTTGTCTTTTGCCTGCAGATTATAACGATTAAATGTCAAAGTGACGTGCGTTACCGTTGTTTGGTGACTCTAGATTTCTCCATAGAGCCTTGTAATTTTTTATATTGTAATAACAAAGAAAGCATAATAAATTAAGTGAGAATTTTGTTTCTTGTGATGTAAAATTCCTTTGGAAATAATAAATGTGACTTTTTAACTTAAAAGTGTTTTAATGTCTGTTATTTTACATAGTTAACTGAGGGTAAACGAACTGTTAACTAAAATAATATAATAAAATTATTATTATACAATATTACATATATTGTCCATGAGAGATACAATACTATATATATATATATATATATATATATATATATATATTTATATTTATATACAACTTAGAATGGCAAACGGGCTGACGGTCCACCTGATAGAAAGTGGTAACCGTCACCTATAGACGTGAGCAGTACAGTAAAATAAACCAGAGGGAGACTTTGTACAAAAGTCGTTTGCTTGGGCACCTCTGTCCCATTCGTGTTTCTACCATGAAGCAGTTGTTCATGGCTGTGTTTCGGTTTGAAGGGTGCGATATGGCAATAAATTTACAGTGTACAGAGGAATAACACCTGAATCCTCAGGAATGGTAACACATGGGGGTATCATGGGCGAAAAATATACTCTTTACGGCGACGGTTACCACTTTCAATCAGGTGGGCCGTCAGTTTGTTTGCCATTCTAAGTATAATAATAAAAAAAAAAACAAACTAAGCCGTTAAAGAGTCAACAGGGAATAAACAAACAAACAGACTACTATCACATTTATAATATGTATAACTAAGGATGCTAGAAGTAAAACATGCAAATAATGATAGACTACCTAAAGCTAGTCAGACGTTAATGTAACCCAAACATCTTAATTCAACAACGTACAGGATCTATCCAATCAATATTGACCTTGTCGACGACGCCGCCCACGCCAAGTTTACGTTCGGTTCCATTCCTGTCACGTACCAATGAATTATATTATGGGAAACTCAAATAATAATTTGTACCATTCCCAACCGGGACCACAAATCTTACAGTTTCTTAAAGATATAATTCAAGATTGTAATGTAGCTAGCTGCCAGAGGGAGACTTTGTACAAAAGTCGATTGCTTGGGTACCTCTTTCCCATTCGTGTTTCTACCGTGAAGCAGTTGTGTTTGCATGGCTGTGTTTCGGTTTGAAGGGTGAGATATGGCGTGAATTTACTGGGTACAGAGGAATAACACCTGAGTCCTCAGAAATGGCAACGCATGGGAGGTATCATGGGCGAAACAGTATACTCTGTTATGTCCATGGTACTGCTCATGTCTATAGGCGACGGTTACCACTTTCCATCAGGTGGACCGTAAGCTTGTTTGCCATTCTAAGTTGTATAAAAAAAAGCACAGGATTCCTGGAAGACATTGCTATTTAAAAATATGATCGCCCATTGTTGCCTCTTTATCTTGTTTATATGTCATAATCATCACCATATCAGCCTTTAACTGTCCACTGCTGAACATAAGCAAGAAGAAGAACCACAAGAACCCTTGGTAAGTTTTGCCAGTAGTTGCCACACTTTGGCAGGCGGATTGGCAACCGCAGTTGGGCTTTAGAGATGTTTTAAGAGGGACGCTGCTGCCCATCCCTCGCCGTCCCTTAGTCGCCTCTTACGACACCTACAGAAGAGGAAGCGGTGGCCTATTCTATGCTGGGACCACACGGCAAGTTAATTGTAATAATATAATCAATCAAACATTAAAAATTATATATATATATATATATATATATATATATATATATATATATATTTCTGATTTATATAAATATTTAATTTTATTATAAAGATATGTCATAACTTTGTTGACTGTGGCATGCCAATAATGACAAAATGTGTTTTAAAAAAAACCAACTTTTGTAATATTACCATATCACCTTATTGTACTACATTTTTAACAATAAATTTTATTCATTCATTCAATCTCATACATATCACAAGATGCACTCACATGACATACGAACCCACAGTAACACCTTTATTTGCGCTCCAACCACTTCAGGACCCATAAGTCGACATAACTGTCGCAATACATAAAGTTACCCTAACTCATACCCATTAGGGGACAAGAAAATACTGTGCGAGCAATTTGTTTACTTCCAATTTTATCGTGTACGCCGTAGAGGTCATTTTACAGTGAGCTGTGACGGTCATCGACAGGGTTACTAAGTTGTATGCGTGAAATTACAGGACAGAAACATGTGTAAGCTATAAAGATAATATTCATAAAGATGTTAGCACAGTAAAGAATTAAATCAAAAACATTTTTTTTAATTTGATAAGCAATAAATAACAAATAATAAATAAATAACTTAAAAACATATTGATTCCAGTCAAAATATAAAAATATTTAAAATGTTTAACATAAAAATAGTGATACTATAAAACGATATAATTTATTTTTAAACTAAATACTTTAATACATTGAAATTTCATATTCACGTCGCTTGCTGACCTCTGAGGTCTACCATAAAACCAAATGACGATGTTTCTGACCGAATCTAAACCGAGTGTTTTAATTTTTTGCGACAGCTTTTCCTATATGCTTTTAACATCCAAAGCCTTGTTTTTTTTCAGCTTCAAAATTTCTTACAGATCCTACAAGACTTTGTACAAAAGTCGTTTGCTTAAGCACCTCTGTCCCATTCGTATTTCTACCGTGAAGCAATTGTGTTTGCATGGCTGTATTTCGGTTTAAAGGGATATGGCAGTGAATTTACAAGGTACAGAGGAATAACACTTGAGTCCTCAGGAATGGCAACGCATGGGAGGTATCATGGGCGAAACAGTATGTTATGTCCATGGTACTGCTCATGTCTATAGGCGACAGTTGCCGCTTTCCATCAAGTGGTCCGTCAGCTTGTTTGCCAATCTATGTTGAAAAAAAAAGTTTCTGACAGTTTTTATGGTAATAGACCGACATGATGCTGCAGATCTATTGCCATTATGAAACAATTCCAATGAAATGATATTTATTTCTTGTACAAGTAGGAATATATTGCACTTCAACAAAAAAGCAATTTCCATCGTGAACACACTGATATATAGCAAGATACCCTACAACGACTTGTTTCACAGAATACGGACATATATATTTTTTTGATGGTTGAAATTGGTATGGTAACCCCGCCTGCGCTAACGGGATACGCTGGCGGAGCACCAGTGAAGGGTGATAGATGAGAATGAAAACAGGCCAGTTAGTCCATCATGACGAATTCATCAGGAATTAACCATGATAGTTTCCAGGGGAAACAGCGTGGAGGTCGACTTGGTTGGGTATATTGCTAGCAATGGGATTCTCAGTCTCCATTACTAACAATCCCTTTCCCCCCAATACGGATATATTGTATGTGTTTACATATAGATTTTACTTCGCAACAAGCTGTTTTTGCTCCGTAATGAAAAACGGCACCTTCAAGCCTCGTAATATTAAACAAATATTAAAATGGTATCAACACAGGAGAAAATCCTATCGATTGCAAAAATAATCATAGCAATCGGTTCAATATTGGCAACTTAATTGTGCAACATAGTCACAAAAAATTAGACAAATTGAGAGCATTATTATTGATAATTGGATTAATTATATGTGTAATAGTTTTTTTTTTTAGGTGATAAAGAAATAGTAACCCCACTCGCGCTATCGGTATACGCTGATAGGGCACCAGTGAAGGTTGATAGACGAGGATGAAACAGGTCAGTTAGCCCATCGTGACGAATTCAACGAGAATTGTTCACGATGGTTTCCAGGGGGAACCACGCGGAGGTTGACCTGATAGGGATATTGCTAGCAATAGGACTGTCAAACTCCATTGCTAACAATCCCTTCCCCCCAATGTATAATAGTTTTTCTATTTTTTTATATATATAAATGTTTCTATATGTATATTTATTATTTTATTTATATTTTGTTATTTATACTCTGTTACTAATAATAAATCAGCTACTAATAATATATTTTGTTTTTTTTTTTTGTTTAAAGTATTATTTTTGAACCAAATATGTTATGTTTCATGTACCTATACTACTTAGAAACTTTGTTTCGGGCTCTCAATGTAGACTGGAAGAAACCTCTTTAAGGAATAAATCCGCCTTACTTTTCTGTACAATTTTGTTATAACCTAATATCTGTATTATAAATGAATAAAGTTCTTTTGATAGCCGCTTATAAATGGGAATATCCTATAAAAAGGGAACGCGTGGACGCACTAGCGGCCGCGTAAAGAGACCGAAGTGACAACATTAATCCCCAATTCCGTGGCGGGTTTTATAAATAACGAAGATACCGTTATCTTATCCCACGCAGTATTTCTGAATTACTTGAGTGAGGGTGGCCTCGCGCTGGATGCGGATCTTTCGGGGAAGCTAATAGCAACAGAACTTATTTATTGACACTAATACAGAATGCCAGGGGGTGATGACACCATAAGTGTATTTATAGGGTCGGGTGGACTATGCCCACCCCACAATTGTCTGGTGCCCACCCCGATACCATACTTGATGTATGGGCAAAGCATGTCTAATCGTACATTTGAGCCTTTTTAACTGTCCAAGTCAACCCTGAAAAATAATCTTAAACTCTATCAATTCAACCTCCAAGAAATTCGTCACTATGGTCTAACTGACCTGCTTTCATCATCACCTATCATCTCTCACTGGTGCCCCGCCAGCGTATACCGATAGGACGGGGTTACTATTCCATTATCATCCATTAAAAAAATACTCTCAGGTAGCCGCTATCTAGAGTTGCCAGATGGCAACCCTTACTTACCTGCTTATTTTAGCAGTAAAAGTCAGCGGCAGAATCTTAGGCTCATTTATTATTTATTTATTATACTATTTATTATTTTACTTATTTATTTATTTATTTTAATATTAATTTTATTAATGTCAAATCAATGTTTTAAAAAAATCTATAATTGATGTAAATGTAACAACTCTATATTATGTACATGAATGCATTATAGTAATAAATAAATAAATAAATGAAAGGTACAAGCCCTGTATATAAATTAAAAATAAAGTCTGTATTAACACTGTTGATGTACCTTTTAAAATAAATAAATACTGAATTCGTAAATTATTGAAATATCCCAAATCACAGTTTTTTTTTATGGGTAAAA